TTCACGATTATTTTCACTTTTTCATCGACGCCAAGGCCAGACATCTAAAATTTTTGTCCCAATATGACAATGGCCGTGTTTAACCATCCTCCAAACCGGAATCATTGAAGGAAAAACAACGTTATTTTTGTCCCATAGGCATCAAAGCTTTGAGTAATAAATGACTTTTCTCTTTATGCAGCATTCACGTTCATCTGCTTTGCATGCAGAGCAGGGCGCAAAAAAAATGTACCTCATCACAGCCGGCTTTCCCAATGGAACTTTCACTGCTCACTAATACTAATAGTAATAATTCAAGTTTTGTGCTTCATTAGTTTTTGTTCGGATATCACTGCCCACCTTGTAGTTGTAGAGGTTGCAGTTTTGTAGCGCCGTCGTTTCTCTACAGACACGACCACACAAAGAACTTTGGAATTGCTCGTTAACTGTAGCTTTTGTGAGCGTTTAAGAATTTCATGTTTTTTGCTCATTTTTGCTCGAACTGTTTGACATCAATTACTCCTGACCTAAGGTGACCTAAGACTTGAAATTTTGTGCGAAGGTTTCAAATTGATGCCCGGTAAGGTACTAAAAATTTGGCGGCGCTGCGCGCCGCCGTTTTTCGCTTTTCAAGAAAACCCACATGGGGGCCAAAATGACCTCCAATCAGGGCGCGGATTAACCTCTCTCTTTAGACAGGCGTTACCTAATGTTTGGCCGGGGTATACCTACTAGTTATTGATACCACTGATAGGTTGATACTACTGATTGGCATTTGCAAGGGCGCAGTCAAGTTGGGACCTCCCCCGCCCCTTACAGCCAAGGTAGGTGCGTATATTTTTTAGCAAAATTATTTTTTGGCAACCTTCCAAAATAAAGTGGCTGAAAACCGAGGAAAGAATAGGATTTGGGGGTAGGTAAGGTTCTGCGGGCTCCATCCTAACGAAAAACCTAATGGTATTGCCGCCCACCCCCCTTTCAGATGCCCCTGGATCCGCCTTTGCCCCGAACTTTATTCCCCCTCTCAACTTTTCCTGTAAAAGTAACCCTGCGTATAACTGAACTTGACATGGTGACCTGACCTTAAGTGACCAGTGATAATTTTTACGCAAGTGATGTAGGTAGGTTTACCTACCTAATAGGTTATACCAAATTTCGCGGCGCTGCGCGCCGATTTGTTACACGCACACACACACACACATACGCACGCACAAAACTGGGAAGTGTGGCAAAAAAAAAACACCCCTACCCATCGGGTGAAGACTAGAAACCCGACCCCCCCACTCAAAAATCCGTGGCGACGCCCCTGAGTCCATCGTGCGCATCTACGTACCCTACCTACAGCCTCGGGCCTTCCTTGCTGCCTTTGGATCCGGACCAAATTCAATTCTGATCACTGAATAGATCAGATCAGATCAGATCCGCCTGCAATCCAGTCGAGGCCTCATTAGTCATTTGTCATTTGACTGGGGTTTTGTTCCTACATGAAGGGAGTGATGAAGGTTATATTGCCTTGGATGAAGGCGAAGGCTATATATGGTAGGCGTAGCTTACGTACGAATACAATTCTGATCAAACAACACGTAGTATTTGTATTGTATTCATAAAAATCTCCACATCGTGGCTCTTCCGATTTCAGAGTCAGTACATTAGTTAAACACAGTGAACATGTTCATAAAACACGAAAAAATGATGGTTTAAAAATCACTATAAATTGCTAAAATGCGATAAAACTGAGCACATCTACTCCCCATGTCTCGCGATTCACCTCCGTGGGTGACACAGTAAACGACTCCTCCTGAGCTCGGCTGGCAGGCGGTTCCAGGCGGTGGTAGCCCGGCACATAAATGCACGGCGAGCGAGTTCTGTGCGCACGCGTGGCATTTGCAGCAGCATACTCTCCGATCCCCGCGTGGTCCTTTCTGATACATCTGAACGGGACACAATCATCGTGCGGAGATGCTCAGGCGACTCAGGTGACCCCAGAATCCGACAAAGTGCCGCCAAGTCACATTTAGTAATCAGCTCATCAATTTTGAGCCATCCCAGTTCTTTTAAAGCGGGAGTAATATGCTGAGACCTCTTTAGTCCGGTGATGATCCTGGCACCAAAATTTAGAACTTTCTGGATCCTATACTTTTGGGTTTTGGTGCAGCCGCCCCAAACGGTCAGACAGTAAGTGATGTGGGGATAAACAAGCCCTTCGATGATAACTTTTTTGGTCTCGTGTGGTAGTCGGTGGCTCAGCTTTGCAAGTCCCACCAACATGCCATAACAGCGCCTGATGACGGCAGATATCTGGAGGTCCCAATTGAGATAAGAGTCCAAAGTTATGCCAAGAACCTTCACAGAAGGAGAAGGACTGATGAGCTGTTCCCCAAAATGAATTTTAAATGTTTCGTTGATTTCTAAGTGAATTCGCTTAGACTTCACGACCAAGAGATCTGTTTTTGAGGGATTAATTTTTAAACGATTTTGAGTAAACCAATTCAAAACAATTTTGAGCGTGTTCTCTAGACTCTACTCTAGTACGGAGGTCACCCACGTTGGCCGGAGCATCCGCATCGATAAACTGCGCGTCGTCGGCATACATGATGAGCTGTCCGTGGCGAATAAAAGAAGGTAAATCGTTGGTAAATAGTAAAAACAAGATCGGTCCCAAAGTACTCCCTTGGATCACGCCATGTGTCACCGCCACTGGCGTTGTACACCCCGCCACACGCTGCGTTCGGCCTTCGAGCCAACCGCGGAACCAATGGTCATCCACACCATACCATCCGAGCTTTTCCAGGAGCCGGCAATGCTGCACGCTGTCAAACGCTTTGGACGTGTCTGTCGTCGTCAACGTGGAGACGAGGCCACGGTCCATGCTGCTGACAAGCCTGTCAACAGCGCACAGCATCGCCGACTCCGTGGAGTGGCCCGGGCGGAAGCCATGCTGTTCAGCGCAAAGTATATGATGTTCGCTTAAATATGACATTAACTGATTTCCAACTACACGCTCACAGAGTTTACCTACAACGGACAAAATCGAAATTGGCCTAAAATTATTTGGCTCAGAACGGTCACCACCTTTGAAAAGTGGAGTAATGACGGCAGATTTCCACGCTGTCGGCACCGTGCCGGACACAAGCGAGTCGTTCACAATGTACAGCAAATGTGGCGCGATCACAGGGAAGGTCAATCGGATCAACTGCACAGTGACACCATCCTCGCCACACGCCCTCGACGAACCCAGCTGGCTCAGCGCAGCCGACAGCTCGGGCAGAGTCGCCGGTTTGACACGGAATGAGCCGGCGCACACCCTCGGAGGTCGGGGCGGTACCGTCTCACCCGCGTCAGCGGCCGCGTTCAGCGCCGCGGCTGTGTCTGGTCCGACGGACGCGAAATAGCGATTTAGTCGGTCCGCCCACGTGACATCAGCTGACCTGTCGGAGTCCGGCTGGGGCTCCCGCTTTGTGGCAGACACGATGTACTTGCGAATGTCTTTCCAGTGTGTGGTTTTTGAGTTCTTGAATGTATCTCTGAAGTGAGCTGTTCTGGCGGTGGCTAACCGGCCCTTGACAGCATTCCGCAGGCCACGATACGCGTGCCAGGTGCTGGGAGATGGATTTCTGTCCTTCTCAGTACGGGCGCTGTCTCTGTCACTCATCAGCTGCCTCAGGTCCTCGTCACCATGGCTCACCCAGGGACAGGGCGAATTACGGACCTTGATTTGAGTGAATGGCATATGCTGGTTAATGACACTGTCCCACACTGTCAGCCACGCGTCGTATTTTTCGGATGGTGTCATAGCTTCGTAGATTGACGACCAGTCGGCCGTCAAAAGGTCAAGGCAGAGATGATCCTTGTTGAGATGTCTCGTAGACCTCACGGTGATGCTCCTCGGCGCGCGTCGGATGCGTGTTCCCGTCACTCGGGTGATGATCAAGTCGTGATCACTGATGTGACTCGTGACGACCCTGGTCGAGTCACACTGTTCCGGGTGGCTGGTGATTAGGTGGTCAAGGAGCGACGGTGGCGCGTTCGGAGCACTTCGCGTCGGCGTCGTTATTAGCTGGCTCAGCGAGAGGTCGTGAAGCAGGTCCAGGTATTGCTGAACACCAGGCTTGCTGGGATGGAGCACGTCCCAATTCAGATCACCCAGCACGTAAACCGGGTGTGCCCTGCATAAGACGTGTGTCAACTGGTGCCGGAAATCGTCCATATCAGGCGCCACACGGCTGCCGGGGGGACGGTAGGCAGCACAGATGGTCAGCGGCCTACGGTGCGGAAAGTGAAGCCATAGAGTCTCCAAGTGGGAGCCGGTGGTCGGGACATCTAGCTCCACTGGCGCGAGTGAGTCTCGGTATATCACACAGAGGCCGCCGCCGCGGGCCCCACGGTCCCGCCTGGACACACAGTAACCGGGAAACAGCAGGTACCGGTCATCAATGTTTGCGCTTAACCACGTTTCAGTTACGCATCAGTTACGCAGTTACGTAGTCTTGGTCTTGTTTACCCACCATTTACCTCCAACTAATCAAATGACGTCATTAGTTCTACTACCCTAGCTCTTGTTCTAGCTAGTTTTTTTTCTTGACAAAAAATATAAATTGCAATGTTTTTTATAGGGATAAAGAGTTTTTACTACTGACCTCATTTTTGATCAATATATTTCTTTTTTGGAATACTTATTTGTATTCCTTGATCATATCTAGTCTGAGTCAAGGTTTTGATTGGTCGTCCGGACTGGAACGCACTGAGATAATTTATTCAGCAAGAAATACGAATGCAGGAAGATTATTTAGATAATTGCATATTTACTTTCTTTTGCAATTTACCCATTATAGAGTTCAGTGAATTTACCATTTGTTGTCACGTCTCACAGTTCACAAAAGCCGTATATGTAGGTATATATAGGCCGTATCAGTATATATAGAACGTATATTTAGTCAGCAGGAAAACCAAGAACGTTGACGTATATGTAGACCACTTTCTTTGCCTTGCTGTCACTCTGACTCGAACTTGGAAGATGTGCTCAAATTTCCTGAGAAGGGAGTGGTTGGGGTGTAGGGTAGGCAAGGCGTGGGAAGTTGTTAATGGGAATATACCACCTTCCTTAAATTAGTTTTTCGCAATGGATTTAAGATTTTTTATGGTCAAAATAAGTAGAAAATGAATTAAAACCTTTTTAAGTATTAGGTTTTTTATATGTTTCAACATAGCAAGAAATATATTCTGCATAAAATACCTAATGCTTGACACGGAAGCTTATCACACGCTGGCCAATCATATTGCGTAGTTCAAACCCACCCATGCTGCATTTGCAGTAAGCAGCTTGCTGATTGGCTGATGATTACATGGCCGCATTCTTCAATAAGACACATTCCTGATTAACCCGTGAGTTGCTGGGGGGCGTTAAACGCGCCCGCCGCCCACTTTTTTTGCCACGCTGTAGCATAAAACCGGTGCGCGTAAGGAATTGATTGAAGTATATTGTGAATTTGTGACAAAGTTTCAAGAAAATTGGTCAGAAATTTCTTGAGATAACGTGGTTCTAGTGATGTGATGATCTCTGTGACCTGACCTGTGACCTCAAAATTCAACTTCAAAGTACTCATCTGAAGCATCTCGTCACGTTCTTTTGTTTGCCGCCTCATGAGTTTCACTGCGCCTATTGGTTCTCGAGTTATGAGCTGGGGGGCGTTAAACGCCCACCCCCCCCGCTCGTTTGCGTACCCCCTAGGGTGATCGTTATTCGTTGGGCCGTAAAACTTCTGATTTGTGCTAGTCTCAGCTCAAGCTGTGAAACTGCTATTCCAGTTCAAAACCTCATGTTAAAAATGAACTTTTTCCTATAACTTACACCTCCATAACAAATAACTTATTTTTGGTTTAGTCTAAAAAGTGTTTGCAACAGAAGCTCACTAGCTGGTACGCACTGACCAATAATATTGCGTAGTTCAAAACCAACTGCATGCTGTTTGTCTGACATTTTGCCTCTGTCAGAGGTGGCTGCATCATTTGCATTCTTCCATAAGGCACCACATTCGTCCATAAGGGACTGTTTCATTAATGAAATCAATATATCTTTGGCTAGGGTGATCATTAACCCGCGCGGGGCTGGGGGGGTAAATTTTACCCCCCTCGCGAATTTTTGCAATATCTCAAAAACGGCGGCGCGCAGCGCCGCCAAACTTTCAGTACCTTTTCTTACATCAATTTGACACGTTCCCTGAAAATTTTAGCGAAATCCGTCGGAATTTTTTTGAGAAATTGACGCTTTAGTGACGTCATGTTCGCCATTTTCGCCTAAAAAACGGCAAAATTTCAAACGCCGCTAACATCTTCATTTTTAAAGGAATCAAGACGTAACAAAAAAGGTTATACGTAATTCTACTTTGTCTATCAAATGGCTATCTCGGTTTTTGGAAAATTTTGGATTTTGGCCCAAATTTTTTTTCAAAAAACTGACTTTTTTGGGAAAATAATTATAAAATCCAAAATTTTGGGTGTATCGAAAAACCGGAATATATGTCAGATAAGTGGTCTATGTGCACCTACATACCCATTTTTAGAAGAATCGGTTAAAAAATGTGGGAGTTATTCAGAATTTTATGACATCACGACACACAAATTTTTTGAAAAATGACTTTTTTGGAAGTTCTAGACCTCGTACGGAAACAAAAATAGCATCATTCGATTTCCAGTGAAAAAACTGCATCAGATAGACACCTTTTTAGGCCTTAACAACCAACTTCAAAATTTGACCTCACTTGACCTGACCTTGACCTGACCTCGACCTGAAATTCATCCAGAGGTGGTCCATATCACTTATTGAGTGTGCCTTTTGAATTCTATGAGTAAAATGACCCATAAAACATGTGTCGCACATGCCCTTTTCTACATTTTGTTTTTTTGGTGACCTGACCTGACCTGACCTGACCTGACCTTGACCTTGACCTCTGAATGATATTGTATGCAACGAATATTGTTTTGGTAGCCTAAGAACACGTTTTGGGCTATCAGTCTCAGTCCATGACTCCATTCTTCGGCAACTACGGTGCAAGGCCGATACTGAGAAACTTGCAATTTGTACCCTTGACCTGACCTTGACCTTGACCTCAAACTTTAAATTAAGTACATGTTTTAGTTGTTCGTGATGAGAGCTTTCGATTGGCGTTTGAATTTTTCAAATCGGACCATTAGTTCGGGAGATAACAGGGGGATAAAATTTACCCCCCCCCCCCCCAGCCCCGCGCGTTCGGCTGGAGACCCCAGCCCCGCGCGGGTTAAGGTGTAATTTTTCGTAAGACAGCTAATTTCTTAGTCATTTTTATTCAGGCTAGGTATATCTCTGGATGTTTTAGAGATACTTTGTTGATTTTTAGCATGTGTGAGGCCAGTAAGGGGTTCTGTTACATATGCTCTTTTTTTTACTAAATTTCAAAAATGTCTCAAGAAATCTAAATTCTGAGTTAGAAAGTCAGAAGTCTCTAGATCTAGAGATTTTGATGTTTTGGAAATTCGAGAAAATCATTTTGTTTGCTATGCTTTTTGTACCTACGGTGCAATTTTTGACTCTCTAGGTTGAAAGTCTGATTTTTTCCGATTTTTCTCCGTGAGCAACTTTTTCGACCAAAAATGGCCAAACATGATCCCAATTTGACCTCTATAACTCGTGACCTTAGATGACCTTAGATGACCCCATCCCCCCCCCCCCCCAACGGGTCGCGGGCTAATACAGCTGAGCAGGCTGATCGGTCTGTAGCTGCCGGTCTCGTTCGGCGGTTTCCCGTTCTTGGGAATAGCGACTATTTCCGACGCCCTCCATGACGCAGGAACCTTCCCGGTACGCCAGCTCCAGTTTAACACTTCCAACGGGTGGGTTCGTTTCGTTAGGCTAAATGCTTTGATAACTCCTGATAGGTGGCTGACCAATTTCTGTCTACATTTTCAGGTGAGCATACATACGCCACGATGAGCGACATACAGACGTGGTTCAACAGCCTGCCGCAGTTCACTCGACTGTGGTTTGGCCTGACAGTTCTGTTCACACTTGTTGGCCGATTCGGACTGGTATCGGCATACTACTTAGCCCTGCTGTATGAACCTCTCTTTAAGCAGCTTCAGGTGAGGTCGCATATCTGGCTACACTGGCAGACTTTTTTTTTTGCCAAATTGTGCATTGCTTTTGCACATTGCACATGCTAGAATGACCCATTTTAATGCAACGGATTTAATTGAACTCTTGTTCGTTTGCATTACACGCTGAGTTTTCATCCATGTACGTATTCAATAGATATGTATAGAGTTAGTTGTGTGCCCGCCCATCTGATTAAGCAATGACCGACCACTGACGGAGCGTTGTGCGTGCCCGCAGATCTGGCGGCCGGTGACGGCGCTGTTCTGGTACCCGCTCAGTCCACAGACCGGGTTCCACTTCCTGATCAACCTCTACTTCCTCTACAACTACTCACTGCGCCTCGAGACCGGTGAGTGCCGACCTGGGTCGCAGCACTGCCCAATGCCGAGAGGAGGCACGTGTGCGAGGTCTAGCTGTAATGAGCCGGATGGTCGTCAGCTGAAGGGATGCTTCACTTTCTTTGGTGTCCTTGAATCTTGGATTTGTACAGTTCCAATATATGTGTGCCGTTTTAGAAAATGATTTGCGGTAAGTTCGTGTTAACCGCAGAGCTTGTCCATTGTCCAATATCATATTGAAGAGACAATAATATTATCAGGAATGTTTCTGAAGGCAATTGATTTTATAAACTCGAAAGTGTTCAAGGGTTGCGTTTCTTTTGAGTTACGTGTAACTGTAGACGGTCTGATAAAACAGTCAGCTATTTTCCCAGAATTGCAGTGCTTCTGACACATACGTTTCATGTTCACCGATGAACGGTCGCCGTTTCAGGTATTTTTGCCCGCAGTCCGGCCGACTACCTGTTCATGCTGCTGTTCAACTGGTTCTGCTCCGTCGTGGTCGGCCTGTTTATGAACTACCCGGTAAGCTGTCAATTGGCTAATAAGCAGTACTTCTGACAGTGCCGACATCGAAAATGATTTATTTATATCCCTCTTATCATGTGTTGACAGCGTCGTACCGCACGCATTTTCTGACCACTTGTTCCAACTTCCATGAAGCTTCCAGAACGTCGGTGTGCGAAAAATGTTAATTTCCGCACACCGATTGGTTGCTATTCTGCCTGGCTCGGTTTTTGGGTCGCTACCGAGGTGTGCCCGCCCGCTGCATGTGCCGTGTCCCCGCCCTGCCCTCTCCGCCTGGTCCCCTCTGGCGGTCCGCCCTGCCCGCTGGCATCTGACGGCCCGCCGCCCGGCCGGCAGATGCTGATGGACCCCATGGTTATCTCGGTGCTGTACGTGTGGTGCCAGCACAACCGCGACACCATCGTCAGCTTCTGGTTCGGCACCCAGTTCAAGGCCATGTACCTGCCCTGGGTGCTGATGCTGTTCAACCTCATCATCGCCGGAGGAGGTAGGGCTGCGTCACGTTCGCCAGCACGAGTGCTCTCCAAAACCTGGCCTAACATGCCAACAATTAATTTTTGTGACGCAACTGGGTAGGTGGTTTATGGGAGGACCAGTTACTGCACGACCTTGGTACTGAGAGGAGGTTGCATAAAATACATCGCACGCTCCTTTTTTTGTCGTGTCTTGTCGGTTTCATAGCAAAGTGGACTTAAAAGGCGTTGCTTTATGTTTTCCCTCGATTGAGGTCATTATTTACCAGTAAAACGCCTTTTGGGCGAAGAACGAGCGAGCGAGATAGTGAGCCCTGCACGTGCGGAAGGGGGAGAGGGTACTTCCAACCGGCTTGTGCAAAGAACCCTTCTAATCGGTCGCTAGCGGTGTGCCAAATTTGAACGCAATCGGGCCAGCCGTTCCTGAGATCTGGAAGCGGCATTCTGCACGTGCGCACGTGCAAATGGGGTCCAAAATGATTTTTGCACGGCACCCTACTAACCGGTCCCCAACCGTGTACCAAATTTGAGCGCAATCGGCCCAGCCGTTCTCGAAATCTGGAAACGCCCCCTGCACGTGCGCACGTGCAGTAGCACCCTAACCGCAACACATGGGAATGTATTGCCTGGTGGGTGCCTACCTGTATGCCAAGATTCAGCGAAATCGCCCCAGTAATTACAGAGTTACTGAAATGGGAACAAATTTGGCACCTCTTCTTTTTGTATTTTGCACAATGCACGTGCAGTGGGGGTCACTCACATAGATCAAGAGTATCCGACCTTTGGTAGAAGGGATGCAGCTACCCTATAAAAATTACCGCAAGACAATCGCTCAGGCCGCTGCTGAGATATGGGCCTCTCAAAATCATTACTTTTGCAAAACTGCTTAAACACTCTTGACTTTTCACGTGGCACGTGCCACGACGGTCACTGAGATGTATCAAAAGTAGTCAATTACGGGGTAGAAGGGATGGGGCTACCCAGCAAAAAAGACCGCAGGCCATTCGGTCCAGCGGTTGCTGAAATATAAGCCTCTCAAAAGCGTTACAGGCAGCAGCCGCTTGGGCGATTGTCTTGCGGTAATTTTTGTAGGGTAGCTGCATCCCATCTACCAAAGGTCGGATACGCTTGATCTATGTGAGTGACCCCCACTGCACGTGCAAAATGCAAAAAGAAGAAGTGCCAAATTTGTTCCCATTGCAATAACTCTGTAATTACTGGGGCGATTTCGCTGAAACGTGGCATACAGGTAGGCACCCACCAGGCAATGCATTCCCATGTGTTGCGGTTAGGGTGCTGTACTGCACGTGCGCACGTGCAGGCGGCGCTCCCACATCTCGAGAACGGCTCGGCCCATTGCGCTCAAATTTGGTACACGGTTAAGGACCAGTTAGTAGGGTGCCGTGCAAAAGTCAGTTTGTACCCCGTTTGCACGTGCGCACGTGCAGAATGCCGCTTCCAGATCTCAGGAACGGCTGGGCCGATTGCGTTCAAATTTGGCACACCGCTAGAGACCGGTTAGAAGGGTGCTTTGCACAAGCCCGTTGGAAGTACCCTCTCGCCTTTCCGCATGTGCAGTGCAGGGCTCACTATCTCACTCGCTCGTTCTTCGCCCAAAAGGCGTTTTACTGGTAATAAAATGGAAGCGCAAGTTAATATTTTTAGTACGAGCATCGATCAAACGATAATGAGATCAAACGATAGGTAGTTTGGTGCAAGAGGCCTATCAAGAAAATGCTGCTTTGACTGATCTGTTGCACATACTGCGTGGTAAATCCATCTCATTTTAAAATTTAACTTGACGCGTTTTAGAAGCTTAATACCGAAGCTAAATATAGAACTATTTCGTTTTCCGTTTTATTTCATTTTTATCTTCATGGCGGTGTGAAGCGGAAAGTGTAATATAATTTAACTCGAATCGACGCCATGGCTCGTAAAGAGCACCGAAAGGTGTTTGTGCCTCCAACCTCCTACATCCATCCTGGATTTTCGCACTAAATTCCCGGGTCACGTAGCGAGAAGCGCTAAACGGTTTTTTAGAGGTCGTTAAAAATAGATAGCTTTGCTTATCGTTAAAAGCAAAAACCAAGAAAAGGCATTCAACTATTAAAGTCGGCTGGAATTAATCTTAATCTAACGGTTTTGCCTGCTCACCTAACAGTCAAGTTCAACTTCATTTGGGAAAATTCAACAAGATAGACGTTCAAATTTATTGGGCGGGGGTCGTTTTCTTTTGCGCTGGTCCGAATGCACCCTGATTCCATCCTATGTCTGGTTGGACTCCGCCTGCGGTCGGGACGGCCCGGCGCCGACCCCGTCTGTAGCGGGGTCGGATGTGCCGGCTGGCTCGGCCGATAACGCCACAGATGACGACCTTACCAATACCGTCGCCCGGGATACTTCGGGGGGGGGGGGGGACGGGCGCGGCGTGACTGGCTGGAGACAGAGCGGTTGCCGCGGGGTGTATTCCATTTACCCCGTTTGTCACGTGTCCAAATGCATTTCTTGTACTGCAGTCGGTTCGCTGCGACTATATGGCTGGTCGATGGCACCGGCTCCGTAGCGGATCTGGTCGAGTTGCTGTGTGGGTACCTAATGTTTTTAGCTAGTCACGGGTGCTGCATGTGAGCTGCGCCATTTTTGTCATATTGGAGGCGTTTTAATGGGTATAGGCCAGCGATTGTTAAGGCGGCCTTCTGAGTAGTTGTTAACCGAGCTTGGTGCTGTCCGCAACTGAAAATCTTGAGCTTACGGCTTCTATATCAAAAACTCGATCCCATTCGCTACTATTTTCATTGAAATTCATTTAAAGGTGGTAATTTTTTAGGATCTTTTGCTATTCTGAATGCAGCAACACGCTACATTGGCATTGGCACACGGTGTCTTATATTTCGCTCGTCGCCATAATTCCTTTGTTTGAGGTAGCGGCACGAAGTAACAGAATTGATCACGGGGCCTGAAGGGTGTTCTCCGAGCAATGCTTCGCAACACACCTTGCTGAATGCCAATCGCCCTGTAAATATTGCTCTCAGTCTTTAACATTTACTAGCCAGTTAGGCGTTTCAGCCTTTTATCGTTTTTCTTTCATCGACTCATTTGTTGATGCGCGACGGCTGCGTTTTTTCAGGAGCGATGGAGCTGGCTGGCATTCTCATCGGTCACCTCTACTTCTTCCTTGTCTTCAAGTACCCTCAGGTGAGCTAAGTCTTGGTATTTTGTCTTATTTTCTTCTCCTTTTATGAGATAATGTAATGTAAAGTGTAAACATTAATTACTTGCGTGCTATATTTCTAGTTCTACTCAAGTTTCTAATGCTTTATTTCATCGTCTTCTCCAGTCTTTCGTCGATTGTTTGCGTAAAGCGTGTTGTTGAGACACTTATAGACACGGTATAAATGTCTTTTTACAAAAGTGTTTGCACCGTCACGTCCAGCTATGTCATGCACATTCTGGTGAACTGCTGGTGTTTTCGGGCAAATTGGTGTCTGCGACTTATCGCCTCAGTAACTCACTGTCTTACCCTGTCAAGTGCAGTCTCGCTGACCCTGACTGACACCGGGCGGCTTTGGCAGGACTTTGGCGGCCCGACGCTGCTGCGCACGCCCCAGTTCCTTTACAACTACCTGCCCAACATCTCGGGTGGAATGGGCGGGTTCGGCGCGCCCCCTCCGCGGCCGGGCGCCGCCAACCAGGCCGGCGGCGGCGGCGGCGGCGCGTTCCGCAACTGGGGCGCTGGCCACCGCCTGGGCCGCGAGTGAGGGTCGAGCGGGCCCGCTGCTCGTCACACCGGACAGCTCAGGGGCGCCGGGCGCCGGGGCCGCCTGGCGGATGGCACGTCACGGCGACCCAGAGTAGGTGGGACGGTGCCGACCCGGTCTGCTGAGCACTGGGTGGGGCAGGCAGACAGAGAGGTGGCGGGCGCCGGCCGCCAGTCGGTGTAACACGCTCCGACGGCCGGGGTGACCCGCTGGGGGTCGGCCAGTGAGCATCCACCTGCCGGTGTGTGTTGACTGGAGCGGGGAGGGCGGACACCGCAGACGGAGCCATGTGGAGGTCCAGGAGACGGGCACTACGCGGCTGGAGAAATGGGGGGTGTCTGTGTCCCCGCCAGTTCGGGTCGGTGTTTGCTGACGTACTGACGTCGGTCAAGACACGTGACCAGCGCTGGCTACGGCCAAACATGGCGATGAACCTGCTGTTTGTGCGCACGTCTGGTTTCCAGACCAACATATAAACGTTGTTGTGTATTTTAGTTCGTTTTTATCGCACGATGCAAGAGTGCTTACCCTAAGATTGCCGTGTGTATGTTGCTTGCGGCTGTTTTGGTATGCCACAATAGGAAAAGTTTCGGTGATGAATCGTGACACGGCAAATTGGTGTTCAGTCGCGTTATATTTCTGATGTGATCTCTTCTGTGTGGGCAGGTGGACAGGTGTTTGTCGGTACTCGGCTCTGTGTGCATCTTGATCTATCAACTAATATCGGACGGTATCCAGTAATTCCCCGATATTGTGACGTAGTGATGTTGCGAACGGCATCATCAAAAATTCATGTCTTCTTTCGGTTTGATTTGTAGAAGGATTTCTGAAAAAATGTGCATTTTTGCTCAAGGATTTGTCATCTAAGCAATTACGATCACTTGGATAAATTTGGCACATAATGCGTTGAATACATTGCGTTTCTCTTGGGTAAAAATTGTGTGTGCTCGGGCCTAGCGTTGTTATTTTGTCAATATATGACGCATGGTTATATTGTGTGTGGAATATCCGCCTGTCAAGTTGAAAGTTGGTTTGAGTTTGGGTGAAATTAATTTCCAAGTTAATTTTCTGCATTTTCCCCTTTGATTGGGTGAACCGGATTCTCCTTTCAGGATATTTGTTGTGTCGATCGCCCAGCTTGTTTGCCTAGCTGTCATGTTTTAGCCAGAGTTCTAGTTAGGAAGTTGTCACTATCAGTTTTGATATTTTTTGTGTGTAATTGAAATAGCAAAATGGAGATGTTCTGTTTGGCGCAATGGCGGGTCCGGAAAGTCTGTCTTGGACGCTGTGGGCATTATAATAGTAAAGTAAACAGAGGATTCCTACCCCCAAAAAAGTTTCTCCGAATTCCGAATACTTATCGGATCTCGATTCCTTATGCACTGCTGTGCAGTTAAAACCAAACTTTTCCTTACAAAAGTTAAGTTTTAGCCTAATTGTCGAAAATCCACAATTTTTTGTCGATTTCCACCCCCCCCCCCCCTCGGGTCACCAGTGGTTGTCTTAGGGTGAAAGAAGATGCAGCAGGATCTTGCCATAAATAGAAGTAAGATAAGATGCATGATGTGTAGAAAACCAGAAGAGAACTGATTATTGAAGGATATAAACTGCACTTATTTAGGAACATTTCTTGGTTCTAATTTATGGGTTATCATTTAGTGGTTGATTCCCTCTATCAGCTGTTCGAGATAGTGGTGGAAAAGAATTTTTTCGCATAGTGGTGAAAAACGGCTTTGCAATCTTTCTTTGCGTTGCCCCGCGTTGACGGATTGTTTGGGCCCGTTTAGTTTTTATACGAAAATAAAGCAAAATGGCCCTCAATATCGCACGCCGTGGCATCTACACTTGCGCTCGCAGATACCTCAGTGTGTCAGCGACACAATGTGATAAAAGTAAGTGAATATGATTCATTGTTGCGTCCACTGCCAACACATGAGCTCTGCTAATTTATGAATGTATCAAAATATCTTGCATATTGATGGAATCAGGTACAAAATTTGAATTGACGCCAGTACATATGTGCCTGTTCAATCAATCTTAAACTTGGTAAAGCTTCTCAGCGACGGCCTGTTTCTACCTATAATGCACCGCAATAGTTTTTGCATCCCTTATATCAATATGAACACGCATTGCTGGTTTTAACTGCTCAGTTGCTAGTTGTGGACAACCCAAGTTTTGATTTTGACTGCTTGACTCAATTGACTTTTGCATATTGATTTTTGACTCCTCCTCACTACTAGAAGCCCCAAGGAATTCATAGCACTGATATCTACTTTACTTTTTACTATCATAGAAATTCCTCGGAGGTATGTGGCTCCTTTAGACTTACACTGGAAATAGTGCCACTGGCTCTGAACAATTTTTTGCTTGCTCTTATTGATGGCACCAATAATTCTAAAAAAAATCTACTGGACTGTTGGGATGAACAGCAGTAGAAAATTGTCATGTTGTACAAAAGTATTGGTATATGTCAAGTTTAGGTCCTAACTACAATTGTGACGCTGTTGATACGAATATGAAACAGCAAAAATTTTAGGTTTTAGGTTAGAGCGCTGTTCGGCAGCCGGCTATTTTGTGTGCAGGGTATGACGTATTTCGCGAGCCGACGTCACAGGCGGTGACGTCGGCTCGGCGAGCCGAGTGCCAACGACAAACTAACGGGAACCCTCGGACACCCTCGGGGCATAAATCGCGGAGTAGCATATTGAGCGAGTCTTATAAGGAAAATTCATATATTTTCGTTTCTCAAATGATAATAAGGGTGTCTCTTACCTTTTTACATATCATTTAGGCTTACCTAACACTTCAGTTGCCAAATATCTGCAATTTATTCAAGCGAAGGTATTTTCAGTAAATATCAATGGTATAGACCGAAATCTTTTGAATAAAAACTCCAACCAACAGAAATAAAAATAACTTTATTTATTCCAACCATTTCCTCCAAATAAACAACATAAAAACTCACTTTTACACACATCATTCATAATAAGGCATACAAACACGCCGCTTTTGACAATTGCGGCGTCGAGTGGCGCGCTGCTAGCGCTCTTTTTCGATCGCAGAGACCCTGCACGCGCGCGAGCACACTACGTCACGTCCGGGGGGCACAGGTATATGAAAAATCGCAGTGACGTAACACTTTTCTCGCTTCTCATTGGTCAATAGCCCGTTGCCGGGGTAACGTGCACGTATGTGAGCGCGGGCAAGAGTACTAGCCGGACGCCGATCAGGGCTTAGGTTAGGTTGTAGGTTTGTAGGTTTTAGGTTGTAGGTAGGTAGGTTTGTAGGTTAGGTTAGGTTAGGGTAGGTTTGTAGGTTGTAGGTTGGTAGGTTATAGGTAAGTAGGTAAGGTTAGGTCAGGTTTGATTATGTTTTTCCTTTTATTTGCGAGACAAATGAGTATCATTTTTGGATTCAGGATGTCAAATAATGTAAAAATATGAAAAATTTATCAATGAAATCTTCTTAGGACTTAAACTTGACATTTACCAAAGTATTGCTGCTAAAGGTCCTAATTTATCAGGTTATTATCAGGTTTTCATTACATGTTTTCATCCATTCAAGTTATTGCACTAAAACAACCTTATTGATATGACACATCACAAATGTAACAGCTCTTATTGCTCAACCCTGAAAAACTTTGAAGTCCTGTGATAGATGTTTTAGACAAAATGATTACATAACAGCCTAGCTGATCATGATTCCCCTGATAGTCCTGACCCTCTGTGCCTAAATGAAGACATAAGCATAAAGGACCACAGCACAAAGATGCTTACCTAAATGAAGTCACCAGAAATCATCCCAGAGGATATACACTCTGGTTATAAATCATCCCAGAAGATATAGGTACACACTCTGGTTATACAATGCATGTTTTTTATATTGTTTTATAGCCAGCAGGTACTCATTGGTTGCACTTGTCTAATTGACAATGGAATATAGGCAATAATATGTTTTCAGATATGGTCCTACCATGGATGAGATAATAATGGATTGGTGTCTTCGCAGTTTTTGGCGACATTGAGCTCAGGCCTGCCATCTAGCGGGAGAATTGTCGTAAGTTAGGAGCAAGCCGAGTGAACGCCGCTGATTAGCATTGTGACACACGGGAGTGTGGTGTAGTAGCAGGCTTGTTGTGCAATTTTTCAAAAGGTTATGTCTTTATATGTCAGTAAAAGCGAAGAAATTAATAGATTTATGTGCAGGGTCAGTAATAAGATAAGCAGTGCCATGTTATTTCCTCATTAAATCGTGAAACAGGGAGTTATTGGAGACTTCGCCAGCACGTGTTGTTTTCACTATTTTTCACATGAGTCTTTACTTGGCCTAAATCAAACAAATTGTCCGATCAAAGAACAAAACGAACGTAAATACCATCTATAAGTCTAATGAAAAAGTTAAACGGAATTGCTAACGTCATTGCCGCTCAATATGCCATTCAAGACGCTCTATGAAAAGGACCCAACCAGCGCTGCGTAGTCGATGAAATTTCAGTGACTTTGGCTCCAACTCCGATTCCGATATCCAAATATCGACTCCGACTCCTTCGGGCAGAACTGTCGATTCACAGACTCCGACTCTGCAGCCCTGGTAAGTTTGTGGAGTCGATGACTTTTCGGTGACGTTCGACTCATACTCCGACCACAGCTTTTAAAAATCAACCGATTCCGAGTCGGAACAGAACCGCTGGCTCTGACTACAACTCCGCAGTCCTGGCCCAAGATAGCCGCCTAAAACAACTTTGATGTGTGATCTTCTTCGTACATTGTTAATGTTATTTTAAACAAGGAGTGGAAAAGGGAGACGAAGCCTTCACAAAAAGGATCTCCTGTTGCGGATCAATCAGCTGCTGGAAAAGAAAGGCATAAACACCACGCATCTCATTTCATCGTTTTCCTAACAGCTCTGCACCAATGTAAGCACTGATCAATGCAGTGCGAGCATCGATGTGACATTTGTGTACCAAGTTTGAGTGTTATTCGCCCAGCCGTTCTTGAGATATGGAAGCGGCACCCCGCACGTGCGCACGTGCAGTAGCACCCCCATAGTGACACATGGAAATGCATTGGCCACTGGGTGCCTAACTATTGACGAAGTTTTACTGTAATTGGCCCAGCCATTGCGGAGTTACTTTATGTGGAACACTTTCGACACCCCTAAGTTGGCACGTGACACGTGCCGTAACATTAACTAAGATGAAGAAAATCTGGCGAAATTCGGAGAAGAAGGAATAAGCCTACCAAATTTGTAAGTGACATATTGTCAAACTACTGTACCATTGTGAGTAAATGACCATATAAAAGGTCGTACAAGCCGATGGGACTGGGCGTTTCAATACACACCATTTTACGCATTTTATTTTCGTTATTACCTAAAGGCCGCTTGACGTTTTTGGCTTTCAAGCATTTAAGACGTTTTTTGTCGTCTCAGGTCCAGTAAGATTACTTCCAACTCGTGGGAATATGCACTTCAAGCCAACTAACACACCACTCCCACGTGTGTCATAATGCTGAGAGATGGCGTTCACTCGGCTTGCTCCTAACTTACGATAATTCTCTCGCTAGATGGCAGGCCTGATCCCAATGTCGCGGATCCCAATGTTAATTTCCACGAGACACCAATCCAGTGTTATATCATCCATGGTCCTACTCTAACTCATCACCCACACATTAAGCTTGAAGATTTGATGAAACGTGTCAAAGAGTATTTGGTTTAATTAGGGAATCAAAATGAGCTGTTGGTTTAAAAGCTATCATAAATGTGTGTAGGTGCAAGGTAGAAAAGTGCTGTAATTCATATTTTCAACTTTTCTGCAGTCTGATGTCATTAAAACAAATATACCTTTTCAAATCCTTTTATTTCATTTTTCCTGGCTTAGTATTGCTTATCTTCTTTTTGCTGGAACAAATTGCCTCCACTTCTTTTTAGTAGAGAAGAGCTAGTGTCTGCTTTTTTACATAACATGATGTCTGACATAGTTGTCATGCACTTTCAGGAAATTGAAGTGTGACTTATAAGTTTTTCTTGCATTGTTCCTCAAAGTATATATGTTACCAATATCTTAAGTTGGTGATTTCATTTACCTCTTTACTCCTTTTCCATACTCGATCTTCGTGTTACAAAAATGATATTTTCAGTGTAATAAAAAAATTGTAGCAATACTCTCTTCCTCTCCTCCACAGTGATTAACTGAGTGACAACCCTGCCTTAAGTTTAACCATGATAGGCATGATCGGCCCTATCCATGCTGATCATGAGCCTGCTGTGTCCAGCGGTTGTCTGACTCGGCGCCTTTGCTTGCAGTGATGCCCGACCCGTTCGAACACGCCACCGGTATTGAGAAGCAGGAGATGCTCGCGCGACGGGCCGGAAACAACGTGAGTCACCAGCGCTGTGCGGCACGCGCTGGGGGGGGGGGGAGGGGGGCTCCTGCAGAATCTTTGGGAGTTCTAGTCACTCGGCAAAATTTGTCAGTGTAGAAGGGTTGCTTCGGTATTTGCTCAGTATTTGCACGTCAAAGTTTTGTAATTTTCTTTATTCCCAAAACGTTGTTTCATTGTTTTCTTCACCCTCCCTCCGCAAAAGATGCGTATATGCTGGGCCTGCCTTTGCATCCCGACGCCGTCACCCTGCGACTGACACCGTCACCGATCTCTCCGGCAGGACCCGTTCGACATGGGCCTGTACCACCGCGGCGTGGGCACCAAGGAGCAGCCCAACCTGATCCCGTCGCGCTTCCAGTGCCGCATCGTCGGCTGCGTCTGCGAGGAGGACGCCACCTGCGTCAACTACATGTGGCTCAAGGCCGGCGAGCCCAAGCGCTGCGAGTGCGGCCACTGGTTCAAGCTGGTCGAGGGCGCGCCGCTGCCCGCGCTGGAATAGGCCGCCGGGGCCGAGCCGACTGTGAGAGCGACCATGTGCGGCGTGCGAGCGAGATGAATAGTCTAAATATTACCTGTGAATCCGGCGCGGTGTTGCGGCGCGGCCCGCAGTGTCGGGTCCCGCTCGGGTGAGGAATATACACCACACACATATTGTGTACTCCGCCGTCTGTCGACATGTATTGGCACGGATGGGTGATGGACACGCTGCTAGCAAATATCACTTCACAAAACATGGGATGGGCATTCACGGGTCTCGAGCGTGCATCACGACGGCGGGTCGAGCACCAGGATGCGTTTCTGCAGAGTGCGGGGTGCCGGCGGGAACAGCATCTGTCGTGTGGCCGACTCGAGGCCGTCCAGTGCCGTCTGCACGTGATGGAGCAGCGCCGGGTCCTCCTCCCTGCGCAGCAGCACCTTGAGTCGCCGGTACAGCGGCAGAAGGACGTCCTCCAGCACCTACCGGCGGGGGGTGGACGGGTCAGCAACAGTGCCACTCGCTAGACACGGCAAGGCATTCCCATTTCCTCGCAACTACGGACCAACCGGCTGACAACACCGACACGCTGACACGACACTGACATTGACCGACACAATGACACGACACTGACACAACACTGACACTCTGACACACTGACATTGGCACTGCCGAGACCAGAAATAGCGCACCTTGAGAGCGTCGGCGCCGAGACCTTCGATGAGCTGGGCGACCACCAGGACGGCGGCGCGCCGCACCTCAACGGCAGGGTCCGTGTCCACCAGTGCTGACAGACAGCCAAACACCTGCGGGGGTGGGGCGCTGGGTTACCGGCACCGAAAACCACCGCGTCACCACGGCCCAAACGCCAGAGCACACACGGCAGGAGGCGATGAGTGCAGACATCGGGTTACCACGGCAGAGATGGTCAAACACCTGTATTGAAACGTGACGCCCGCCCTGCGTTCGGCATCTGGAAATGAGGGATAATTACCCGGGATCACCGGTAATTATTTGGTCTTGCAGGAACCATCGATGCAATTAGTCACATTTTTATATTGCTATTGCTTCACAAATGGCTCTTTTACTCGTTGTCATGTCCGCTGTGCACGGCGTCAGCCTAAAACATCGAATGATCCTGGTGATCCCGGAAAATTATCCCTGATTATCCGAATGCCGAATGCAGCTCGGTTACCAGGGTAGACGGTCAAACGCGGGGCGGCAGAGGTGGACACAAGTAAAGGCTACTAATGACAGGCACAACACTGGGAGTTCCAGGGGTCAGGTAGCTGACTTATTAACGTCAACGGTCATTTGAGCTAAGCAATAGCGCCGCTTCCTTTGATCTTAGTGACGTCACAACTCCGCTCCGGCCGTCCCTGACGTTAATGCGTTATTCTGTGATTTGATAAATAACCGGGTACATGATACGGCCTCTCTGTTGACTATTGCCGTAATTGCGGCCGGCGTCTCCCTGGAAACGGCTCGCGGCCGGTGCAGCGGCAGTGGCCGGCCGCCGCCGGCGGCAAGGCCCTATATACCCCGCCGGCGGTGTGTCGAGCGGACAAACCATTGACCTATGGGACAAACAGACGGCATACTGACGTCATTGCCCGGCTGCGGCCCGATCAGGGAGTCCCCGGGTATTTGCGAGAGCTATGGGAGAAACGGCCATGGCGAAACCATGCCGGACGAATGACGTAACGGCCTCTTATCATGGCGAGGAGCCCGGGATACAGGGCCGCGGTCGAAAGGAAGCCGCCTCCTGTCGGACGCAGTGAATGCAGCGGGCGCGCAGATGCCTGGGTTATGTCGGCCGACTGCTCCGCCATGCACCACTTACGGTCTATCTAACTATTTAGGGCTCATCGTTAGCCAAAGGCATTCATGATATGGCGCTCAATAATGGCAACACATCTAATTTATTTTCAAATACGAATATTCCAAACTGTTAGTACATGAACTGAAGTAAACAAATAGAAGTAAATTTAGCAAATTAGAACACATGGGTCCCCCTACAGGACGCCATGGGACGCTAACCTGGTTTCTCACGGTGCCCTGAAAACGACTTTAAGTAACCTCCGTCTCTTCCCATCGGCAGCCCACACAGGCTGATCCGGACGAACTTAAGAGTCGTGCTCGACTGAATCGTGAGTCAAACGCTTTGGGTCGTCCCAACAATTCATCACTCTAGTCTACTGTGTTCAAAAGAACAGATAACTAAACAAAACAAAACAAATTGATAACGTCGGAAATGAAATTATTCGTCGCTGGTTCGTTGCTTGATGATTAGCTCGAAATCCTTTGAATTTTAAAAGACGCTTGAAATGCCACTACAGCACTCTGCACTTGGAACAATGCCAGCGTCCGATCGGGTCTGTTACGTCACCCAACCTGCACACAGCAGTTCAACAAGCCGAGTTGGCGCAACCGGATCTCCAATTGTGGGGAACGGGGGCAATGCCCGTCGCCAGAGCGACTGACTGTTCAGCTGATACGTGCATGCAAAGCGAAAAACGGTAACGACTGGGCTATAGAAGTCCAGTAATACAATGCTCTTTTAATCTGTTCGTTTATGGAGTTTGTTAGGCACGATAATGGAGGCCAGTGGCGACTCTGGCGTCAGTCCTGGGGAGTACCTGTTGACGATATCTGACGCACCACAGTGATAACAAACGGATCGGCTCAGTGACCAGCTCGTGTTGTTCCCCACTTCCAAGACCTGAGAACTAAGGATCGCTAGGCACGTGCTAATTGAAACGATTGGTGGCTGCAGCTAGTGGAGATACATATAATGAGGCCAGCATGATATGGGGGCTAAGCGTTGGTACGAGATAGCGATTTATCATTGTGTGATGTCCCCCGCTGAGCACAATTAGTCAAATACAAAGCCTATTACTGGATAAATGCAACTCAATCTGGCTTCGGAGGTCAGGAGATAAGTCCCATTCGCACCAGTCTCGTATGAGCATCCAAACACCGAGACTGCCGCAGCCGATGGAACATAACGACCAAAAGCTGGAGTCGCCGAGACGAATCACTGAATTCAGAAATCCCCGCAGTCTGCACACACTGAGTCATCCGGTGGGTAAGAACCTCACCGGCCGGTGAGCATATTCTCACCTGGCGCAGGTGAGCATGTTCTCACCCCGTGCAGGTGAGCATATTCTCACCTCGTGCAGGTGAGCGGCCAGTGAGAAGCGGAGCAGTCGGCACACCTCTGCCAGACAGGAGAGACTGGAGGCCCGCACCAGCGGCTCGGGGTCCCGGCAGCCGGCCAGCAGGGCAGCCAGCAGCGGCGGCGAGTGGTGCGGCGCCAGGTCGCCTGAGGGCACACGGGGCGTGGTCAGCTGCAGTAGTAGATGGGACGCAAGGCGTGGTCCGCACTGCAGACAACACTGACGGGGATAAGGGCCATTCGCCCGGGCCCGGCTGACGGTCGGAAGCCGCGGGGATGAGCGCCGCATTATCTGATCAACTCGGTGTGGTTAAAAGGGCTCTAGCAATGCACAGCAAATCATGTAAACAAGTCTGCCTTAGCGTTCGTGAGTTGGTGACACTCAGTAATGAAACGATAACCAAAGTTGATGATAAATATAATTAGGATCAGAGGAATTTGCGGCCAGCAGCGGGGTTCCCTCCCACTCGCCAGATTCCTATCGGTTATCCCCATTTCCGTCCATGTCAAGGATGGATTACAATGGCCTCGTGCCACCTCTCCTAACTCTCCTATCACATCCACCGTACCCCCAGCACTCCTTCCATTTCCCCTGTCCTCCTGCTGCCTCCCCTTCCTTCCCTTCCCCTCCCCGCTCTCACCCAGGTTTCGGACGACGAGCACCAGAGCCTCAGCCAGTTTGAGCCTCGTCTCCGTGTCCTGGTGTCTGGCGCGGTCAGTGAACTGTCGGCAGAGCTCGGGCACTACCTGTGTGGTGTACCGGTCCGCCAGACAGGCCAGGCCGCGCACCGCCGCCAGGTACACGTACGAGTCGTCATCGTCGAGCTTATCCTGCGGGGGAGGGAGGAGGGTCAGAGGAAGGGGGAGAGAGGGAGAGGGAGGGGAGAGAGAGAGAGAGAGAGAGAGAGAGAGAGAGAGAGAGAGAGAGAGAGAGAGAGAGAGAGAGAGAGAGAGAGAGAGAGAGAGAGAGAGAGGCACAGTCAGAAAAGCGTGGGAGCAAGACTGGGACGTAGGAGTAACCAGTACAGTCATGGTGCAGTTTCCGCATAGCGAATGACGCTGTGGGAATTACATCCCAGAGAGAGCTGCCCGATCTCAGAATAGTGAATGCGTGACGCACGTTACCAGGCACATTAGGAAACGAATATATGTATAATTAGCGTGTCACCAGTACAGCTCTCAACCTAAATATAGATGTATCCACAACACGTTAATGATATACGCATATTAATATAGCAGTGTAAAGAAAAATTCACTTGATTCTACGTACAGCCGAAGTGCCGCAAATAGAAAACCGGCGGCCGGCCCCCGAGCCGAGGACAGAATGAATGAGGTCACAATATTCTTCAAAGTATCTTCCACAACTAAGCCCATCGCAAGTCCCTTTTACGCTCATTCATATTACAGAAACTGGTAGCTCTTCGCTGCTGCTGGCAGTTGAGCAAACACTTGAAGCATTTCAAGCCAGCTGCACCTCAGCAATGCGAGAATGATGCCCGAGCAGTTGTCCAAAAGCAACATTACAATCATTTTAATTGCGAATCGATGACGATGTACTACTATACTTTAACTCATTTTCATCGTGGGTTCCAGATTCTTATCGTAATAGTCATCACTACCCCTTTAATAAAAAAAAATATTCCCTATAAATCGTATTCAAAGCCTATCCCCAACTTGCAGTCTTTGTGCCACCAGGTTGCGATCGGCTGGGCATCGCATCGACTGCACTTCCCTGTCATCTCCCCCCGCTCGACCCGGCCTGCCGCGCCCATCCCGCAATTCCCGCTCACCTGAAACACACCCACCCCGCAGTCCCGCTCACCTGAAACACACCCAGCCCGCAATGCCCGCTCACCTGAAACACACCCAGCAGCTGCTCCCTGTGGCTGCACGTCTCCGGGTCGCCACGCTCCAGGAGTCGGCTCAGTGATAGCAGCGCGTGCGCGCGCACCGGCAACAGGGGGTCCACCAGCTCGTACATAGCCTGCTGGTAGGTGGGCGGGTCCGAGGGCCCGCGGGCCGGGTCCGAGGGTCCGCAGGCCGGCTCCGAGGGTCCGCAGGCCGGGTCCGAGGGTCCGCAGGGCGGGTTGTCCCTGACGATGGCTGACGCTAGGTCCTTTGATACGGCGGCAGGGTCAGTGTGGGTAACGCCAGACGCCGTCCCCGTTTCTCCAGGGACCGGCGGCGAAGAGGCGTCAGATCCGACATCCGTGGAAGGTTTAAGCCGCCGCTGAGCTGTCGGAGTAGGTTCTAGCGGGGACTCGAGTTTCACCGCTGAGTCGGGTGCCGCGTCTGTTTGGTCGGTGTTGTCCCGTGAATCGAGGACCGTGATCAGGGGCGTACGACGTTGGTCCGGTTTGCTGTCCACCTGGCCATCAGGGTCCGGTTTTATCCACTGGTCTTCGGGCGGCGTCTGGCCAGAAGTACGCTGGTCTGGCATTTGACCGGGGCCCGGTTTGCGATCCGGGTCGGCCTTGACGCGGTCGTCGGTCGGCCGGCTCTGCGGCGGCCTGGTGACCAGGTCCTCGGGTCGGACGGCCCCGTTGGTGAGGATCAGTGTCCGCAGATCTGCCGCCATGTCCCGCACGCGCTCCGAGCCACCCTCAGTCCCCGCCAGTCGCTGCAGGACGGGCTCCAGGCGGCGGGCGCCCGCCCAGCACGGCGCCGTGCTGGGCTCGCTGCCAAGCAGACCGCCCAGCACCCCCAGCGCCAGGCAGACCGTCTCCACCTGCAGCAGACCGGGCTCGCCGCCGCCGGCCTCGAACCCCTCCAGCAGGGTCTGCACGACGGGCACCAGGCGGGCGGCGTCCTCCAGGCCGGCCCGCGCCCGCTCACAGTCGGTCAGCGCGGCCAGCGCGCGCAGTGTGAGCAGACCGTGCCGGAACTGGCGGCGCCGCTCGGCGTGCCGCCGCTCCCAGGCCAGCAGGGTCTCGGCAGAGGACAGCGGCGGCGGCGCCTCCTCCGCCAGACCGTCGAGTGCGGCCACCGCGCGCATCCGCTCCAGCAGCGTCACAAACACGTCGGCCACCAGCTGCTGCGCGGCCGCCTCGGCCAGCAGCCCGGAGAACGCCGCCGCCAACACGTCGTCCTCGAGCAGCCAGTTGTCGGCCTCCTCAGCGGGCACCGGCTCGACGCGCGCGCCGCCCGTCTCACCCAGCGCGAACCGGCGCGCCTCACCGACTCCGTCCGACAGCAGGAGGAGCTCCACGGTCTGCGGCGCGCCGCCCAGCCGGCCGGCGCTCAGCAGCCGCAGCAGCAGCTCGCGGCACGGCGCGCGCAGCTGGCTCACGCTGCTGCCGACCACGGCGTGCAGTCTGAGCAGGGCGCCGGCGTACGGCACCAGCGCCTCCAGACAGGGCGAGTCGGGCTCACTGCCGACCACCACCAGCTGCCAGAGCGCCGTCACGGCTCCGCTCAGCTCGGCCTCGGCGGCGGGCTCCGGCCGCTCCGCCGACAGCGGGTCCAGCAGGGGCCGCAGCAGGGCGGCCTCGACCGCCGGCCGGCCCAGCGGAGTGGCCCACAGCGCGGCGGACAGCGCGCCGGCCACCCGGAGCACGGTGACACGGGCCTCCTGGCGCGGCAGCCGCAGCAGACTCAGCACCTGGAGAGCCATGGCAGCGCAGAGAGTCAGTACAGCAGGGCCACATTACCAATGGAGGGCAAGGAGGATATTCAGCTGGCCAAGCAGCAGAAGAGACAGAGACGAATGAAGTGGGAAGGCCGAGAATTACAACATGGATGAAAATAAAGCAGAAAAAAAAACAATAGATTATTCCAGTCGGCAATGACTAATGCAGGCAGACTGGCAATAGGTAAATGATGAAGCGAGACACGCAAGCAGCCGATCCCTTTCATTGGCCGTACCTCAGAAGCCAGGTGTGTGAAGTACTGTTCGTCTTTGAATTCCGGGAGGGGTGCACAAAGCAGCGTGGCCACAGCCTGAAACGAAAATGAAATGGTGAAAAGGTTCAAGCTTATATCTGATTGTTTCGTACCAATCAGATATCAGGCATTGGTAATATTACGGCATATATCACGGCACATATCACGACATTTGGTAACAACATCACGGTATTGGTAAGATTGGGCCCTGGCTTTTAATTTGTAAAGAAAAACAATTAAAACCATATTTGCTTGAATAATATATGAATAGCAGGCTCTACCGAAAACGCTAATATTCGCAAAATTGATATAAAGGTATCAATTTTGCTTTCATAAAAGTAAAGCATTGCACACTGCAGTTCGCGAAACAACAAAAGGGATTATGAAGTGAAGGCTATAGTGCGCAGCGTCTCATATGATATGTGCGTTCCGATAACAGCATAAGGCACTTCCGATATAGGATAGCATTCATAACACAGTAGTGCGTTGAACATACAAAGCCTCTATAAATTGGCCCATTGCAGAAAACGGCTTTCAGCAAGCGCGACTTCAATTGAGCAACGCAATGCGAACGGAAATGCATTATCGTCGACACAGGACATTATTACCCCCGAATCGACCAAGCCTGCCGCCGGGTCTCGGAATGTAAGTGAAATTTTACAACACTCCCCCGAATCCATCTTCTGAAATGTCACACACGCCAACATCCGATCATAATACCAAGCCTCTATTCTTAAGACGCGGAAACGGGCGAGCGCCACTGGCGGATCCAGAGGGGAGGCATTCGGGTCAAATGCACCCGCGTCCCGCAGCATCCCAAATCGACGAAAATTGGCGCTTTTTTAGAAAATCAAACGAAAACTAAGCAACTTTTATGAGGAAAAGTTTGGTTTTAACTGTAAAGCAGTGCGTGAGGAATCGGAATCCGATGAGCTTTTGGAATTTGGAAAAAAAACTTTTGAGGGGGGTATGCCTCCCGCAGCGTCCAAGACCGTCTTTCTGGATCCGCCGGCGGCGAGCACTAAGGTGCACTACGCCGTCTTATACCACGCCACACTCAGCCTTCCCACCTGTATTCTCTCCAGAGGCACGTCATCGAGCCGGTCCTGGCCCCAGAACTGGAGCAGGCCCTCTGTGACGGCGGCCAGCCCGCCGGGCCGCCGCACGTACTGGAACACCCACCAGGCGGTGCGCTCGTGCAGCCAGCGGCGGGGCGGCTTCTGGAACACGCACCAAACGTGAAGGTTATGGCCACCAAAGGTAATAAAACAGGTGAACGGCAACACCGGTGGTCGATATCGCATAAACCTGGTAAGCCGCGACGGGCGAATGCGCGAGTAACCTGAATAAAAACAAACACACCACGCAATAAAGCTTGCCTATCCTTCGATATTGGTCACTAGCTAACCATTGTAATAATACACGGACATAGACCTCTATATACCAGGTATACAGAGGTCTATGGCACGGATTGTGATTGTGGCCTACGGCATGAGGAAGACTCGGTACACTGTTAATTGTTAATCATTAGTCAGTACAGCAAATCCACACCCAGCGGCCAGACGCTCCCAAACAGCCGCTGTGTCGGACGCTCCCCCCTCCCCCCCCCCCCCCGCGACTCACGCTGGTGGCGGCGCAGCGCTGGAGCAGCAGCAGCTCGCGCACGGCGCCGCTGGCCGGCAGCCGGCCCAGCAGCGGCGCCAGCTGCGGCTCCAGCTGGCGCCGCTGGCGCAGCAGCTGCTGGCGCCGCTCGGGCGTCATGCCGGCGCGGCCGTCGGCAGCCAGCGGCGCGTGCGCCACCAGCAGCAGCAGCGCCAGCAGGTCCGTCACGTGGCCGTCCAGCACGGCCCGGGCCAGGCTGCGGTCGGCGCTGAGCGGCAGCAGGCGCCGCGCCGCCAGCACGGCCGCAGCCCGGCGCTGAGACACACGGCACCGTCAGTGGGGACTGGGTGGGTCGGTCACACAGACAGCGTGGCCCGGGAGACGGGACACTCAGTGGACGGGACCGTCAGTGGGGGACTGGGTGAGTCGGTCACACAGACAGCGTGGCCCGGGAGACAGGACACTCAGTGGGTGGGACGGTGGACACTGTTGACGGGACGGTCAGTGGGGAGGGGGGGGGGACTGGGTGAGTCGGTCACACAGACAGCGTGGTCCCAGGAGCATCCGACTCAACGAGCGTGTCAGTCAGACGCTCAGAGAGGCTGACAATGAAATAATAACGTGAAACAAGTACTAGTACTAGTAAATCAAGACAAATCACTAGTATATTACGCTTCTTGGTGAAGCCATGAGTGCGAGAAAGAAAGTTTCTCTGCTGCTCTCAGAAGGGTGTGGTCTTGCCGAGCTCGTCTGCAGTGCAGCTCCGTCAGCTACGACAAGAGTGAGCTGTCCGATGCACCGGGGCTTAGCGACTGACAATTCCGATTTACCATTCTGGATCGCAAATTTTGATTTACGGTGGGCCCACAGACCTTATTGAGGAGTAATGGATAGATAGCGAATCGATGCGACGCCATAATTTACTGAGTCAAGTACTAGCTGTCGGATCTGCTGAATAAATAAAACTGAAGTTACTGGACGCCTACGTCCAGCCGTATGAGGAGAACCTACAACCAATGGCTGCAGCTTCACAGCTCGGAGGTCGGGCCGCATTTCACGTATCGAGTCTGCACTCTTAGGTGCCTACATCAAATACCATAAACCAGGAAATCCATTAATAGCTGAGCTGCGACAGCCAGACAGACAGCAAATTAACACACTATTAATAGGTGCGCGGGAAGCACCTGTTCATCTCCTCAAATCCAACTAAATTGAATGTCAAAGTCTCGACAGTCTCGTCAAACTACTTATGACGACTGCGTTACAGAAACGACGACTGCGTTGGAGACTGTAGAACTAAAACAACGTATTCTAAACAGCATTACAACAGGACGAACCAAGTTCGTTCCTTTTGTCGAGATAAAAACCACGACAAGGAACTAGGAAGTGATATTCGATTATTTTGACTCGCGCAAAAATAGCTACCCGTAGCTTACGTAGATTGCCAAATGAATAGCTAGGCAATCGACATATCACTGTCTCAGTAAGCTTTGCAAATACCAACATATGGATTATACAGGGTGACACAAAAAAAAAACGGTCATCACCAAATTCGAATAACTTCGGAAGTTTTATTCACATCATCACCAAACTTCTGCCACTTTAGGTCACACCTATGTAGCAGACATCCACCAAGTTTCAAGTCTTCACTACGAATACTTTTAGTACAGTGTGTGTTACTGACACTCCACAATGTGCTCCAGGTGAGCGCCCCGGCGCTGCAGGGCGTAAGCTAAGACTAAGCACACATGCATCCGGCGGGCAAAGTTGTCGATAACCCGATAAGAATAACGTTTCTGGGGTAGCTCACCCCCTGAGCACTGTCTCCAGAGACCATTGCACTCTGTAAAGTGCACAGCCATCGGGTTATCGACAACTTTGCCCGCCGGATGCATGTGTGCCCACGCCCTGCAGCGCCGGGGCGCTCACCTGGAGCACATTGTGAAGTGTCAGTAACACACACTGTACTAAAAGTATTCGTAGTGAATACTTGAAACTTGGTGGATGTCTGCTACATAGGTGTGACCTAAAGTGGCCGAAGTTTGGTGATGATCTGAATAAAACTTCCGAAGTTATTCGAATTTTGGTGATGGCCGCTTTTTGTGTCACCCTGTACCATATACAGGTCAGCAGGTCAAGTCCTGGTGACCTGTACTGCCCATCCCAGTCCCCCTGACCTGGTACTACCCGTCCCAACTTCCAGCCCCTGGTGACCAGGTACTGCCCATCTGCTGGCCTGGTTCTGCCCGCCCGTCTGCTGACCAGATACTGCCTGTCTGCTGACCCGGTACTGCCCCTACTGACCCGGTACTGCACCTACTGACCCGGTGCTGCCCCTACTGACCCGGCACTGCCCATCTCTGCTGACCTGGTACTGCCCCTACTGACCTGGTACTACCCCTACTGACCCGGTGGCCGGTACTGCCCTTACTGACCCGGTACTGTCCCTACTGACCTGGCACTGCCCACTCCTGCTGACCTGTTACGACCCGCCCGTCTGCTGACCTGGTACTGGTCCGTGTGGAGCGCGCCGGCGGCCCGCAGCAGCTCGGCGTTCTCGGAGCGCTGCTGGAGCGGCACGCCGACGCCGGCCGGCAGCGCGGGCAGCACGCACAGCGCCACGGTGAGCTGCACGGCGCGGGCGGCGGCGCGCCGCTGACGCACCGACAGCTCGTCCGGCGGCGGCGGCGGCGGCGGCGGCGGCGGCGCGCCCGGGGCGGTCGGAGCGGCGGCGGGCGGAGGACGGGAGGCGCGCGCCGCCTCCAGGCAGCGGCGCAGCAGCTCCAGCAGCGCCAGCACCGCCAGCGAGAGACGCACACTGCGACCCGAGCACGGCCGACGGTTAAACGGAATACTCGCACACAGGAACACGTACACAAAGCGCTCCAACTAGGGGGCACAATGTGAACATTACTGAAAATCTTCATAAAGGCATATTACTAGCAACATGCAATGCAAGTACAAATGCAAAACAATTCAATCAAGATATAGTCAGGAACTCAGTGAATGTTCCCAGTTCACACATGTTTTGCATGTAGAAGAAAATGCTGAATGCAATTAAACATATTCCACTCACTTGATATTACAGTCTCCATGCCACTGAAAGTCATCTGAGAGTAAAATATCATGTAATGATGACTTAAGGTTGACATTTTCTTCCTTCTCCAGCCAGTAGTTTAAGATATTTAGCCTCCTCTCCAGTGCTTCCTCATAGCAATGGCTTTCGCCTGCAAAAAGGCACACAGATTTACACATGCTTGCTTCTGGCAGAACATTGTTAGATTAGGGGATTCTGTAAGGCTATCCAGATTATGGAAAATCTTTCCTAGGAAGCATAAGCAATCATTCAAATGAAACACTTATCACACATAAAGATATCCCAAACATGGATCCAAATGGATGTGGTATCCATGCCATCAGAGGGCGAGCACAGGATGACCAGACAGACTAAAGAGTAGCATGGAGGCAGGGATGGACAGTTGACAATGTCTCACAGTATGTCATCAACTTAGATGCAATGTTCAATTTTCATTTAGCTGAAAATGTATTTGTCACCACCAGATTTACACAGAATATGTGGTGAATGCACAAACAACCATCCAAAAAGTTATGAAGCATTATTTATTGATCAGTTACTTTGTTGGTTTAAATTTTACGAGTTCAAAAAATTTTAAATTGGTATCTACCAAACTGGTTTAACCTCATCAAATGTTTTGATATGATCAAGTTAACATTGCAACTAAAATTGACTCAAATTTCAACAAAAGAATAATGATCACAATATAAGTGTTTGAAACAGGATACGAAAAAACAAGTTTAATTGTTAACTGACTGTAATATGATATATCTTTCAAGAGTTTGACAAAGATGCCTACACAAAAACTTGCAAGTGTGTTGACACTCAGCATTTAAGCATGGGTACAAAGTTTGAAAAAACACAACACACTTAAATAAAGTTAAATTGGTACCAGATTACTTATCTTACCTTACCTTAGGTCTACACAGAATTTAGAGGCCTGTATATGCCTGATGGACTAGATCTTTCCTCTAAAAATTTGTTCATGGTATTGGCCGCCAAAGGCAGAGGAGAAGCAATATAATATAGTTCATGCAAAATTTCAAAGCTCAATTGGTTTACAATGATGTCAAGGTATGACACACACACTACCATAAGCTACAAGGATCACATTCACAGTACAGTCGGGCGCACTGTGGTATCTCCGATTCATTTATGGAGACGTTTCTATTATTGGAAACGTTTCCAATTTTGACTACTCTTCTGTTCCAAAAATGGAAACGCTCGTTCCATAAATAGAAACGCTAACATCTCCGCACATATTTTCTTGCCAAGGGTGGCTGGATTCGATGTATAACAACTGTTTCGCGTAAAACAAGCTCAGATACACCAAAAGCACTTGTCTTCTTGCATGGAAAGCTGTCGTATGCATTAAAATTCACGTCTTTAAAATGCTCCTGAATCGTATCCATTTATGGAGACTTAGTTTCCAAAAATGGAAACGCCGATGTTCCAAAAATAGAAACGCTGAATTTCAAATGTGTGCAAACTTAGCTTAAATGTGTTTTTAAAATTCACATGCAACCAAAAATTTGATGTTTTGGGACTGGTTTAGCATCTCGGCTCTCGGCAGTTACCTTGGACGTCGGGTTCGATAATAATACCTTACGCGCCGCAACTTGAGCACATTCAAAAGTCAACTAAAACTAAGATTTCCCAGAAACTACTGGACAGATGTGGTCCAAAGTGGGCAATACATAAAGCGTAGATATCATTTCAATATATAAAATTAATATCAATGTTACACATGAGCTAGAATGAATAAATTCATCGTCAGAATACAACGATATTTGGTGTGACGACGGTGCAGACCTTATTTCCATCCTGCTTTTTACGTATTTGCACGGAGATTTACGTTGATCCGAGCCTACGATCATATTCAGCACATTTGAAATATCATAAAATGCCCACTTAAGTCTCCAAATAGGGCTTTGCAACAACTTTCATGCGATTTAATCAAAGATTGACGACCACCAGGCCGCTGGTACACCGGAAAACGCAGCGTGAAATTGAATGAAAAACTGAAGTTCCCGGTGATGTGGTTGTTCCAATCAATGGGTCAGTCTTTCAGTAGTCTGTTAAAAACGCTATTTTTTGTTCAAAACATTCATAAATGTTATTATTTTCGATTAGAAAAACGTGTGAATTTTTTATCACGTCAACATGTTATAAGTATTGCCTCGTTCGTCAACTTTCGGTTTTCTGATCGGAAAGTCGGAGAACAGGAACATAAACTAGAATGCTGGCTGTCGATTGGTGGCATCCTGCGCATGCCAAATTGCACCAATCAATGCCCAGTTTGCTTTAAAGGTAGCGATGCACACAGCGTCTCCATTTATGGAACAGATCGTTTCTATTTTTGGAAACGGCGTATCCATTTTTGGAACATTGTTCCAAAAATGGAAACGTTTCCATAAATGGATCGGAAATACCACAGTGTGCCCGACTGAGTACATTGACATACCTTCAAAATCTGCTGATGTTAGCTTATCAAGAGCTTCAAAACATGCTCCAATAGAAAAGTTTTCCATTTCAATTGAAATGCACGTACAGACTAGGCTGAAAAGACACACTCACAAGATCTGTGAAAGCACTTCATATACATAGAGTGGAGCATGTTTGGAAAACTAGAACACTTTCTGGCTTTTGCAGCATGGAGCATGTGCATGTCATCTTGATATGATGCTGATCTTGGTCTGCTGTGTAGGCCACATTCCTCTGATCAGGAAAAACGGCAATCAAATAGGACGCTTTAATTTATTTATTTTTTATTTTATCTTGAATCGCCGTTTCGCAGCCTCTGAAATTCAGCACAGAAAATTGAAATTGAGCGTAGCATTTCCCCCAATGTTTCCACTAAATGCTTGGTAATCGTTTCGTAATGATGTTTCGTAAGCAGCAAAGCCTGCAAGTGTTACCAGCTAGCGAGCCTACCATTTGTCGTTACTTCTGAAATCACTGCCGTCAACAGAACCTATACTAATTTTAAGAACAAAATTGTTTTCATCTTTAGATGTCACACGTGCGTCATTTCTGTCATACTTTCAAGCCAAACTTGATGCCATTCCAGAAAGGAGGCATAGCAGCAAAATAATGATGCGGCATGAGCAAGGTCAAATGTGCATCGCGTAAGATATGAACTACTTAAAGGGACCCTCCCACCTTCAAAAAAGTTAATGAATTGGCATGAAAGTGATGTCGCTCGGTTCAGAAAGAGCGAAAACGAATATCTACCAAATTTCACCGAAAAATATTCACCGGTTTCCAAGACATTAGACTTTTACTTTTGTTTACTTTTTTGGGATCTCCGCTGTTTCTAGCGACTTTATTTTAGAAGTGCGGCGTTTGCGGCAGATGTTGCGCGCAAATAGCATATACCACCGCGTGCTACAAAACGTTTTAGTCAAACATTTAAAAATCGTTAGATATTTGCGCTGACGTCACACATTCAGAGGGGTATTCCTAAGCATTAGCCCCTCTGAATCAAAATGCTGCAATTTTGAAATTCAATATTTCCGATTTAAGGCATTTCTCGATGTTGTGAGTGCCGAAACCGGTAATTGTGAGCCAGGGACCCCATTTTGGCTATCTCAACTCAAATCTAATGTTAAGGTGGGAGGGTCCCTTTAAAGGGACCCTCCCGGGCCTCCCACCTTCAAAAAAGTTAATGAATTGGCATGAAAGTGATGTCGCTCGGTTCAGAAAGAGCAAAAAGGAATATTTACCAAATTTCATCGAAAAATATTCACCGGTTTTCAAGATATTAGACTTTTACTTTTGTTTACTTTTTGGGATCTCCGCTGTTCTTAGCGACTTTATTTGAAAGTGCGGCATTTGTTGCGCGCAAAGCAATATATACCACCGCGTGCTACAAAACGTTTTAGTCAAACATTTAAAAATCGTTAGATATCTGCGATGACGTCACACATTCAGAGGGGTATTCCTATGCATTAGCCCCTCTGAATCAAAATGCTGCAATTTTGAAATTCAATATTTCCGATTTAAGGCATTTCTCGATGTTGTAACTGCCGAAACCGGTAATTGTGAGCCAGGGACCACATTTTGGCTATCTCAACTCAAATCTAATGTTAAGGTGGGAGGGTCCCTTTAAGAGGGACATTTTATACATACTGTTGCTAACATCAATCGCTGAAACTTTCCAAAGTGGTTCAGTCGGTGTAGCTGTCGCACTGAACTAGTCTATACCTACCTTATGTGTGGAAGGCGCATCGGCCGCCAGATGGTGTCCAACAGTGCCGCCATGTTGCGTAGACCAGGAAGCGGCCGCCGCGCCGCCTGTGTTGGGGAATAGGGAATTCTAGACCTCGATTTACGTTTGCGGCCGCTGGCCCGCTGGCCGCTGCCATAGTCGGCGGAACGGGAAGGGCACCGGGGCACCGTGCCCCCTTTGATTTTTATTTTAACATTAGCCCTATAGGCGCTGCATGGAAAGAATGGGACCAAAAGTCGGCAGTGCCCCCTTAACCCTATTCCTGGCGGGCTCCGCCGGGACAAGAAACTGGCGGAAAAGATGCCCGAACAGGTGTGCTAAAAACGGCGGCACGGAGCGCCGCCGTTTTTTAGATACCTGCGAAAAACCGCAGGGGGGGGGTGTTCACCCCCGGCCCGGCGCGGGCTAAAATTGGGTATCATCGGCTTCCTCTCGTCACGGGCAACACGCTCGTTTTTTTTTCCGCGAAGCTCTAGCTCGATCAGGGGCGAAACGGCAAAGGGGGCGTCCAACGGACCCCCCCCCCTTATACGTTCGCGGCTGGAAAAGCACCAATACGGGCAAGGGTTAAACTAAAAACGGAAAAGGACTACTCTTACCTGACTCTGGATAACAACTGACTCGAGTCGTGACCGGTGACCAAAAGCACACAGTCTTCAAGCTCGATAGCTAAGGGATATCTAATAAAAGTACGATGCTTTTATATCATTAGAATCGAGCACAGTCGTACTTTTAGCCAGAAAATAAATGTTCGAGTAATTCTGGGACACCCTGTAATGCCTATGTTATGCAAAGCCTATAGTGAGTTGGCTTAATAATCAATCTTCTTATCTACCCATCACAATCCTCCTCGATGGATTAATAAAAAGTCGCCCTACCTATACAGCCATGATGATCAGGAAAACGTTTGCATCAGTGATTGCAAATGTTTACTATGCCTAGGTGCCTAAAGAAATTAGGCCTATTGGAACTTCCCGAACATGAACAAGCGAGTTAATTGTCGCGATGTTCCCGAAGGGTGTTCACACAAAGAAAGCGTTCCCTAACCTAAGGACTATTCGACAAAGGCTGCCCCGAAACCTTGACACCACTGAAAAGTGCCGGTTTCAAAGACGTTCGTTTTTTTACAGCAAACAGTGTGCCACGGCAATAGTCTTTTGTTGCTCTCAAACCGTCAAATACTGCCAAACAAACTGACCAATATTGACAAACTCTTCCACACGTTGACATAGCACACACACCCACATAAACGCAGTACTTACAGCACAATCAATTCTCCCGCAGCAAGTCGTGCCAGGAGACCATTAGCACATTCCCGCGGTGTTGCCCGTGTTGGATGGTCTTATGAGCCAAGTCACTCACCATCAAACGTCCACGGTCCACCTGCTACCAGCGTGCATGCTCAGTAAATCTGCATAGCACCTGCATCCATCGCATATAAGCGCTTTATAGGCGATAAAGGTTACCAGACAAGCAATCTTATTCCCTGTTTTTAAACCGAGCAGGGGCGGATCCAGGAATTTTCGGGAGGGGGGGCGGCAAGTCGAAATAGGGGCGACCTGGCAATCCGGGGGCGCTCCATACAAAGGGGGCGCCAAACCGTCAAAATCGGGAGCTAAAAGCCCGCGCCGTGCTAGGGGGCGTTATCGCGCTCCCCCTCAGGTTTTTCGCAAATATCTGAAAAACGGCTGCGCGCAGCGCCGCCATTTTCAGCATACCTTATCATGCATCTTTTTTGCACATGTTGTAAAAATGTCTGACGCGGGTGATGGAAGGTCAGGTCACCAGGTTATGCCAGGTGACCTAGCCTAAGAAAAAGTTCAAATGTTTACCATTGCTAATTGCTATACCGACTGAACGATTGCTTTGAACCTTTCAGCGATTGATGAAAGCAACACTATTCATGAAATGTATATCTCGGAATTTCGATATCTGTGACCTAAGGTCAGGGCAGTTGTGCGACGTCTCCATTAGGTAGGTAGGTATAATTAAGTCTTTGGGAGAAAACTGAAAGGCATCTCTTTTGGACGAGCGCCATTCTAGACAATATCAAGCATTGGGATACATATAAAATTAACACACTGAAATAAGAACATTGCACCTAGTGTGACCACTCATTATGTCCCAGAGGTCATCCCATGTCATGAAAGGCCGCAGCAGTTTTTTAAAATAACTTTTGATAGATTCAAGCTAGAGCGATAAAAACACCTCAGCTGTGTTCAGCTCGACGATACGCATCGACTGCTATGCAGCATGACCTTTCCCGGTCAGGTCATGACCTTGACCTGAGGTCAAATTCTCAAAATTACCCTTCATAAGGTCAACCTTTCGTCAACCAACGTTTGTTCGACGTGTCTCGACGACAGAAACGCAATGCTGGCAAACGTAATGTCGAGACTCTCTTGAGTCAAAAGTTATTGCAGGAAAACATTGTTCGTAAAAAGGCTATTTTTAGAATCTTTTGCCCTCTGAAGGCTAAACCGTTGACCTGAGGTCAAATCTGAGCGCAGCTTGCAGAAACACCTTTAAAAGGGCTATCGAATGCGCTTTTCTGCGGCGCTATAGCTCTATTGGTTTCCGAGTTATGTGCTGCTGCTTCGGAAACGGAAAAATGTTGAAACAGGCAACATTTTACCTTTGATGACCTCTGGTGACCTGACATTCGACCTGACCTAAAAAATGACCGTTTTGTTTTCGTCCTGTTTTTGACGATCTTTCGAATGCCGCTTATCGCGTGTCACTACGCGGCCCAGGAGCCGAGTTAGACGAGGGAGTGTGCCCCCCCTCCCCAGCAGGACACGGAAAACTCAGACCACCAGCACGGCACGGGTTAAAAGTCGTAGATGGGCACCGCTACCCTAGCAAAAGATATTAGCAAAAAGGTGACCTCCATTTACTGGTGCAGTCCTCCTTCTCCCGGTGATGCCCCCTCCTTTTTCTGGAAGCGTCTCACTTATGCTAGTATGCCTCACTTCCCGGGGGCGCCCAACCTCTGCTTGGATCGCCTAATCCATTATGGAGAGACCCACTTTGCTTAAGTCGCCTCATTTCTTCCTTCTAAGAACGACCAATTTGCTGTAGGCGGCCCACTTATCTGGGACGCCCATCTTCTGCTAGAAGTGCCCATCTTCTTCCTGATGCGTCCCACTTCTATTACGAGTGCACCTTTTCTGTTAGGGCGCCCCTTTGCCGCTGAGGAGTCTTTTCTACTGTGAATAGGGCGGCCCTCTCCTGTTTGGCGACCCCAATTTCTGCTGGAGGCGCCCCACTTCTGCCCAACTTTTAGTGGAGTGCCCCTCTCTTGCAGGGGCACTTCTCTTTTGCTGGAGACGCCACTCTTGTGGGGGCGCCCTTCCACTGCGGGGAACGTCTCTCTTCTGCCAGAGGCACCCCTTTTCTTCTTATGGGGCTCCTGTTTTTTTTTCTGGGGCGAGGCGACCCTCTGCTGCTCGGAACGGGGCACACCTCTCCTTTTACTGGGGCACCGCCCCTCTGCTGGGGTTGCCCTTCCGCTGTCGTCAGGGGCGCCCCTCTTGGTAGAATATGTATACTCCTTTTCTTTTTGTAATGGGGCGCCCCTCTTCTACCGGGGGCGCCCATCTGCTGCTGGGGCGTCTGTCTTCTGC